TGTATTCAAGTTGAAGTCCCCAAGTTGAAATCTTCAACCCCGTCGGTCTTCAAGTTGAAGTCTTCAAATCTGCTGATTTTCAAGTTGAAATATTTAGGCCCCCAAGTCTCAAAGTTGAAGTCTTCAGGTCCGTCGGTCTTCAAGTTGGAGTCTTCAGATTCGCTGATCTTCAAGTTGAAATATTTAGGCCCTCCAAGTCTCAAAGTTGAAGTCTTCAAGTCCGTCGGTCTTCAAGTTGAAGTCTTCAAATTCGCCGATCTTCACGTTGAAATATTTAGGCCTTCCAAGTCTCAAAGTTGAAGTCTTCAAGTTCGCCGGTCTTCAAGTTTCAGTCTTCAAATTCGTCGGTCTTAAAGTTGAATTGTTTAAGCCCTCCGAATCTTCGAGTTGAAGTCTGCAAAGTCCGCCAAATCTTCAAAGTTTTCCAAGTGTTCAAGTCGATGTCATCTTCGAGTTGAAGCTTTATAACTTTTCAATCTTAAGGTGGACATATAAGTCCCTTTGCACCTTAAGTTGGCCTCTTCGTGGGTTTGTCCTTAAAAGGAACTATAACTTTCCAATCTTAAGGTGGACATATAAGTCCCTTTGCACCTTAAGTTGGCCTCTTCGTGGGTTTGTCCTTAAAAGGAACTATAACTTTCCAATCTTAAGGTGGACATATGAGTCCCTTTTGCACCTTAAGTTGGCCTCGCCGGTAGTCCGGCCATTTTGAGAGTAATCTCTCCGGTAATTGGGCCACTTTGAGAGTAATCTCTCCAAGAATTGGGCCACATTGAGAGTAATCTCTCCAAGAATCGGGCCATTTTGAGAGTAATCTCTCCAAGAATTGGGCCACATTGAGAGTAATCTCTCCAAGAATCGGGCCATTTTAAGAGTAATCTCTCCAAGAATCGGGCCACATTGAGAGTAATCTCTCCAAGAATCGGGCCATGAAAGTAATCCCTCCGATATTTGGGCAGGGATAAGTACCCATCCCCTCACACCCTAAGATTGTCTTCATCATGCATGGATTATCTTGTTGAAAAAGAACATATCTTTCTCGCTTGACCTACAAAAAAGAAAAAAAAGGACAACAAAGAAGAAAAGCACAAAAAAAGAAGAAGAAATTACTTTCGCGTTAATGCTTCCGAGTCCACAAATATAGACTCAAGTGACTTGCAAATAATGTGAATTGATGCTAACAAATACAAGCATATGGTTTTATATAGGCATGGCAGAGACGACTTAAAAGAGTAACTTTCAATGTGGGATCACCTGTTGAGTCGGCTCCAAGAAGTAGTTTCCAACTTGAACTGGAATATAGTAATTAAGCATTTGAATGAAGTTGGATTCTAAATGGAGATTGCACTATTTTTGAGAAACAATTCAAGACCAACGTGACTTGGTCTTGGACTTAAGTCCATGCTAGTAAAAAGCCATGTTTACGTAAATGTTGCCTAAGGGAATCCATCTGGTACTTGGATTCAAGAATTGTTTACTTAATCTTGAAAGCTGCATATTGAGATGTAAACAAAAATATGACTCTCCTTGGAAAAAGGAAAACAAAGGGGTGTTAGTCGTAATACTTCAATTCTTGTCTTTCAATATTTGACGAATATATCCGACAAGACTTGAAGCAGGGGGCATTTGTAAGCATGCAAAATTTATTAAAATTAAATTCATAAAATAATTTAGATTATATTTTAAAATTCAAGATATATTGGTCCAAATAAATATTATGGGCTAATATAATTGAATTAATTATATAAGTCCAATATATATGGATTAAATAAATAAGTCTTAATCCATTGGGCTAGCCCATTTAATTGGGCTAAAGTGGTGAGCCCACTTCATTAAGCCCAAGATGTCATCTTCCTAGAGGCCTAGTTTGGCGCCACGTGTCAAATGACGTGGCGCGCCAAGTCAAGCGGAAGAGCCAATAGGATCATGCCACGTGTCAAAATGACAAGGCATGCCCAGTCACACTGAAAGGCAAATGAAATCGTGCCACGTGTGCAAGTGACATGTTCTGGCCAATCAAATGCGGCCATGTCACCCTTCAATTTGATTGGTCGGAAAGAGTTTGTTCTTATCATGACTCTTCCCTTCCACAACTATAAATAGGGGTCTTCATAACTCAGAAAAGACACCAGAAGTTATAACAAGAAGCAAGAGAGAGCTCGTGGATCAAACACCGCAAATTTCTCTACAAGTTTCAAGCTTCAAGCAATCAAGTTCAAGTTCAAGAAATAAAGTTCAAGCTCAAGAACGAAGAACGAATCAAGATCAGGTTCAAGCAATCAAGCTCAAGCTCAAGCTCAAGAACAAGATCATCGTTCGTGGAAACAAATATAGATTCAAGATCAAGCTCAAAGGCCCTTGAATTTATTTACTAATGGAAAGAAGAATCAGAGGATTCATAGAGATTGTAACATTCAAATATTCAAAATAAAATACTACGATTGTTACAATATTTTTCGGTCTTGATTTTATTTTCTCGACGCAATTTATTGTCTACAATACTGTTTTACAGAAAAACGATGAAGTTTTTATGTTCTTCAAATCGTTTTCTGAATTTCAATACCCTGATGAAGTTTTTATATCTTCAAATCAGAATAGTAAAATCCAGACAGAATACAGAATATAATAAATTAATTTCCTTAAGATTGTTATAAATCTGTATTGCCGTAAATAAATTAAATAATAATCTTTCTGAAAAAACAGAAACAAAAAGTTCGTAGAAATTTAATTCCGAAAACAGTAAATTTCTTCAAAATAAATTTTGAAAACGTTGTAGGAACAAATAGAGCCCACTGAATACACAGTGTGTCCTTAAGGAAATTATTCCTCTCAAGTACCCGAGGTTCTTGCATATATCCTCCCAGGATAGAACGATTTAACTCACCAGAGTGTTGGTACCAAAAACGCCTATGATCAGCGAACCACTCGATGGCAGCAAAACACACTGGAATTTTAGTGCAGAAGAAGAAGAAGAAGATAATCAGAAAATTTCGTAAGTAAATATTCTGGGATTTGAAGGTATATTTATAGCCAACTTGGTGTTGTTTCTGAAGAGGTTTGCAACCTTTCAGAACAGCCATAGCTGTTGGAACAGGTGTGACACTGTTTCAGAACAGCCATGGCTGTTCAAAATATTGCGGGAAATATAAAACGGATTTAAAATAATCCGGGAAAGAAAAACGAGCCGGACCGTATCGGGTCGCGGGTCATGGGTTATTTCGGATTGAATTTTCTTTAATTAATTTAATTAATTAATTAAATATTTAAAAAGAATTTTATCCAAAAAGATTAATCAATCAGTCTTTGACAAATCCGAAGCCGAAGCCGAGCCGAGTGAGCGACGACGACGACGGCGCGAGGCTTGCCTTCTTCTTAGCTCTTTAAGAGCTAAAAGATGAGCTTCTCTTTATATACACAAAGATTTTCTTTCCTTCTACCAATGAGGGACAAAGTGCATAAGTGAAATGAACTCATTCAAAATTTCACTTCCTTCCATTTCGTTTCCCACCATTTTCCATTCACACCTCTTTTGTTATTATTTATTAATAACAAACCCAACAATTGGGGGCGTTCCGAGAATCGAACTCGGGACCTCTCGGACCCAAAGCGAGAATCATACCACTAGACGGTTCAAAGATATCAAATCTACCGATTGACCAAGTATATCCAACATAAGTTCACTACGGAAAGTTCAAAGGGAAATCTACTTATCCAGATGCGATTAATCTTTATTTGTGAATCACACAGTATTTTCATGCATGTTTTTCCTCATATGACCATTCCCCATTCATGTGGGGGATTGTTGCGTTTTTATTAAGGGGTGTGAATGGGAAATGGAAGAGGCACCTTTTAGATTGCAGCTCTCCATATCACCCTTCCTTTGTCTATAAATTTAGAGGCCTGGCTTCATTTTTTAGACATAAAATCAGACATGAAAGATGTGAAATCTTCTCCCCTCTTTTCTACATTGTTGCATTATTTTCCAAATAAATATAAGTGTCAAGTGTGATTGCCTCCATTTGTTGAGTTCGCTGAAGTTCTGTGATTTGAAGTGCCGCTATCACAGAATAGTTATTCCGTTCTATCCTGGGAGGAATTAATCCGTTATACCTTGGGCAACAGTGAGGGATTAAATTCCTTAAGGACACACTGTGCATTCAGTGGGCTCGGAATTATTTTACGTTTTATTGAACTAACGTTTGTTTACTTTTCTGATTTTGAACAAAGTAATACTAACAGCTATCTCAATTCTCAAGCAATAAAAATAGTGTTTTTTTTTAGTTATCTCGGTCGATAGTTTTCTGGATTCCCAGAGCTTAAACCCGAAATATTAGACGAAGAAAAATAGTTATATCAAAGACAACAACCTTGGCCATATTCACCCGACCACCGACTATATATGCCAAAACTACCATATGGACAATCCATTAAATAAACGGATATTGTCCCTTCGGTTCACTTTAATTTAATTTTTTTGGTTGTTTTGCGTATATTAAGCAATTCACCTTTTAACATTAATTAATAATAAAATTAACAATATTAATATTTACTATCTCTTTAATTTGTTAATTAAAAATATAATAGATACTTCGAGACTCTTTACTCCAAGGGCAACATTGAAAAAAAGAAATTAATTCCTTCTTAATATCTAAAAAAATAAAAAAATTGTGGACCACAAAAAGAAAGTAAAAAAAAATCAATTAAAATGAACCGGGGGGAGTTTAGTGTAACAAAAGAAATTAACTTGGCTCTCTTTTGTTTTTTCTTTTCCTCTGTCACACAAGATTTTTGTATAGACAATTGTTTATTGGTTCTCTTTTATTTTTCTCCCGCTCAAACAGCAAGATTTTATACAGCTAACTTAGAAACTAGTTCAAAGTTGTTAGATGAAAAAAGTCCCAACTCAAAGCTCAAAGGAGAAAAATATCAGAACTGCAAAATTAAAAATCATGAAATAGACTCGATTCAATAAATAAGTTATTACATTTTCATAACAATAAAATTAAAAATTATAAAATAGACTCGATTCAATAAATAAGTTATTACATTCTCATGATGGTAAAAACAAACTACAACAACAACTCAATTCCAAACAAGTTGGAGTCGGCTTATGAATCCTCGGACCATATTGCTCCGGTACGACAACTCATCTTAGACTTCAGTAACAACAAAGTAGAGAAATACAAAACGTGTAAATATACTTAAAACTGCAAAAGAAATTAAGTTACGCCGATACAAAAACACAACGACAATAGTCTTTTTTTCGACTATTAATTATATTGAAAGAATTTCGCCCTAATTAATATTTAAGGGCATTTTGGTTTTCCTTCTTGAGTCTTCCAATTGTTGTAGCAAGGGCATGTTTGTTTGTGGCCATAAACTCCACGAGGCACACACAAGCAAGTAGCACAACACTTTTGACAAAAGAACATACATGGCTTCTTGTGTGATGTTGCTGAGCATCGATAAGTACATCTTGGCTTGCAATCTATTAACAACACCACATAAAAAAAAATTAAAAAATATGGAAATTTACATCAAATATTAAGAATCATTGCAATTAATTTATTAAACATCGAATGGTATGAGCTCATGGCTTAAAACCGCTTTTTTAAGCCACTCCAAACGGGCTCTTACTCCTTGACCTAACTTGATGTCGGTTATTAGCGGGAAAGAGAAAGGGATGCTACGCTACGGATTGGGTTTGAACCAATGTATGGAGCTCATAAAATGAGTTAGCCCTCGACCCTGATGTCAGGATTTCAAATACGATGTAATCAAGTGAAGTGACCGAATGAAATGTTGAATTGATTCAACACTGAATCCCAGATCTACATAGACGACTAATGGTAAGGGCCGGGATTCATTTTTCGTTCTTCTAAAATTTTGCAGATACTTCTTATTTTATCACTTTGCTAATATAAGTTCTTTTTATTTTCCTAGTACTAATAATATTCATAACTTTAAAATCTTAGATTCGTCACAGACAATATATAACTACTATATATACTCCATCACAAATAACAACATTTTCCTATACATAAGGATCCAAAGGAAATAGCGTAAGTGTATATATACCTCTAGGCTGGAGATTGTTGTAACCCTGCCAAAATGAAGAAAAACACACATAAAATTAAAAGGGTTTGCTAAACAAAATCTCTATTGTTTTTTTTCTTCTAATGACTAATTAGTAGTGATATAAACATAAAACATTTATATATATATATGTATTTACCTCAACCATATTGGTGAAAGTGAGCAATATCAAGAACATTGACAGAAGCAACAAGAAGCTAACATTGTATCCACTTTTTGCCATATTCTTCTTCTCTTCAAAGGGAACTAAACTGAGTATTTTGCTTTAGTAATGAAGATAACAAAAAAGATATAATAAGAAGAGAAGAATGAAAATGTTGGAAGTAGAAGAAGTGAAGTGAGAATATTTATAGAGGGATTTAATTTTGAGGGGACAAAAAAAAATTAATTAATGTGGCGAATATTAGGGCGTGAAAATGGGACCAAACCACAAGAAAAGTCCATGTTATAATTGATTCTTAATTATGAAAAAGGATAAGCGTTGAAAGCGCCGTGTTTGCTGTGTTATAATTTTGTCAAATTTTTTCTAGCAATATGTTTGTTGAGTCGTTTTCTTGGATCTTGAAATATTAAAGACAAATAGAATTCCATCAATTTTTTTATGTTGCTTTCCTTACTCTCTTATATTTCTCAATGCTGCCAAAAATGAGATAATTTTATTAGTGGTCATTGAACTTTTGTGTTTGTTACCCAAAAGTCACTTTTTCTTTTTGTTATATAAACATCATTTAACTTTGTGTTTATTACACAAAAGTCACTTTTCTAGGCTACTAATATATTTTGAATTAACATTAAGAAAAAATAAAAATACGAATATATTATAAAAAATAATAAATAAAATAATATTAAGTAATTTTATTTATAAATAAAATACATAGTTAAAAATATATTATATAGTATATAATATAGAAGGTATTACATAAATATGAAGGTTTATATAATATCAAGGGCATAATAGACTTTTCAAGTAAAAAAGTTACTTTTGTGATAACTAGAGAAAAGTAAAATGATTTTTGTGTAACAAAAGAAAGAAAAATGACTTTTGTGTAATGAATACAAAGTTGAATAATTTTTACGTAACAAAAAAAAAAATGGCGTTTGGGTAACAAACACACAAGTTTACTGATCATGGATAAAATTAACTCTGCCTAAAATGGATGATATTTGTCCAAATTAAGAGGAAATTTCACTAATGATCCTTCAAGTTAAGGTTTGTAATACAAAACTTAGTTTTCTTATTTTTTTTTTTTGTAATATAAAAGTCATTTTAGCACATCCTAATTAACAGAAATATAAAAATGACCAATATAAATTTTTGCGGAAAAACTGATGAGGCTATCCTAATCCTCTAATTAATAGTAAAATGGATTAACAACTTTGAATTGAAATAAAAAAATATAAATTTTGATCGAAAAATGTCACGACCCGGACTCCCACCCTCGGGAGTCGTGATAGCGCCTACTCGTGAAAGCTAGGCAAGCCGAGTATTATATCTTATGACCCTTATTCTTAACCTTTTAGCAATTTTTAAATTAACATGCGATTAACAGCGGAATAATAACAATAATAAAAGAAATGCGACGAAATCTAATAACTTAGCCAAATACGAGTACGAATATACAAAACACGTCTCTACCCAGAATTGGTGTCACAATATGGACCATCTACAAATACCACAAACAGTTGTTTGGAAAGAAAGATACAATCTGTCTCGGAAGTAAATAAAAACAGAATATAAAAGATAGATGAGGATGGCAAGGCCTGCGGACGTCTGCAGGACTACCTCGGGTCTCCACTGGACTGAAGGCAACAACCACTCTAAGGCCCAAAAGCTCCGGTACCGAGATCTGCACACAGTGCAGAGTGTCGTATCAGCACGACCGACCCCATGTGCTGGTAAGTGTCGAGCCTAACCTCGACGAAGTAGTGACGAGGCTAGGACAAGACTACCAAATAAACATGTGCAGTTAAAGCATATACGGCAAGTAATAATGACGGGAACTAGCAATTAAAGATGGGAAGGGGAACATGCTGCGGTGGAATATCAAGTACCAACAGTAACTCAGGAGAAAATCATAAAGAACATTACAAAGTTCGCATCAGTAAGAATAAGAAAACAGTAACAAATCACTATCCACTTTTATCCTTTATTGTGCGCGACCCGATCCAAATAATATAACACTATTGCGGCGTGCAACCCGACCCAAATCATATATCACTGTTGTGGCGTGCAACCCGATCTAATCATATATCACTGCTGCGGCGTGCAACCCGACCCCTCTTGTCCTTCCTTATTACTCCATATTGCGGCGTGCAACCCGATCCCATATAATATTGTTGCGGCGTGCAACCCGATCCTGATATACAATTCAACACCAATCATAAAAGAATCCCGGCAAGGGAACAATAAGGAAATAACAATATCCTCGCAAGGGAATCAACAATGAGAATAAAATACGTCCCGGCAAGGGAATCAACTATAACCAAACTTGTACCAACATTTAACTTCAAAAATGAAACCTCAACTGGAACCAATACTCAACCATAAACAAATACCACGAGAATAATCATAATTCTTCCCCAACACGGAGAATCAACAACTTAGGCATTTGTAGTACTTATTAAAAACACAACGATTTCCAATTTAAGACTCACGGGCATGCTTGAAAACGACGTATAGATACTCGTCACCACACCTATACGTCGTACACTGCACTAGCACTTAGCAAATATAACACAATACCTATTCCCTCAATCTAAGGTTAGACCAAACACTTACCTCGAACTTCCACGACCAACTCAAGCCTCAAACACCGCTTTTTCTTTAGAATTCGCCTCCAAATTACTTGTATCTAGTCCAAATTAATTTAACAACATTAATAAATGCTAAAGAATTCATACTCAATGCTTAATTATAATTTCTTTTTATCATTTTCCCCAAAAAGTCAAAATTCGACCCCGGGCCCGCTTGGTCAAAACTCGAGGTTCGGACTAAAATCCGATCACCCGTTCACCACGAGCCCGAATATGCAATTAGTTTCGAAATCCGACCCCAAAACAAGGACTAAATCCCAATTATTTCAAAAATCCTAATTCTACCCAAATCCCTAATTTCTACCATAAAAACCCTAAATTTTTGGATGAAGATTGATGAAATGCAAATGGAAATTGAAAGAAAAAGGCTTAGAATCATATACCAAAACTTTGGGGAAGAACTTGCCTCTTGAAAATCGCCTAAATGCTCTCTAGTTTTGAAAATATGACGTTATGGGCTAAATTCCCGTTTTGCTACTGTTTTTAATTCACTGGACAGGCCGTCTTTGCGTTCGCGAGAGACCTGTTACGTTCGCGAAGGGTCATGCCCAGATACCTTCGCGTTCGCGTTGAACGGCTCGCGTTCACGGAGCTTTGGCTCCTCAAGCCTTCGCGTTCGCGGTCAAGTGGCCGCATTCACGTAGAACAATATCCTTCCCCCAATCCCGGCCAAAAAGGCCTTCGCGTTCGCGATAGCAGGTCCGCGTTCGCGAAGGGTAACACCCCCAAGGCTTCGCGTTCGCGACCTGTGTCTCGCATTCATGTAGAAGGAATCTTCCTTCAGACTGACTTACCCTTCGCGTTTGCGAGAGTCTCTCCGTAAACGCGAAGAACAAAACTTCAGCACACCATAAACAGAAAAACCTGCAACTTTTCTAAGTGTAAAAACATTCCGAAATCTATACAAAACTGACCCGAGCCCTCGGGGCTCCAACCAAACATGCATACTAACTCAAAAATATCATATGGACTTACTCGTGCGATCAAATCGCCAAATTAACATCTTTAACAACGGATTTAGCATCAAAATTAAAGAAAATCTCAAGAACACTTTTCAAATTTTAACAACCGAGTGTCCGATTCACGTCATATGAAGTCCGTTTCTTACCATATTATACAGGCTCAACCCAAATACCATATAAGACCTGTACCGGGATCCGGAATTAAAATACGGGCCCGTTACCATCAATTTCAAATACATTTAATTTTCCAAAAACTCTTAAAATTTCAGTTAAACAACTTTCTTCAAAAAATCATTTCTCGGGCTTGGGACCTCGAAATTCAATTCCGGGCATACGCCCAAGTCCCATATTTTTCTATCGACCTTCCTGGACCGTTAAATCACGGGTCTGGGTCCGTTTACCTAAAATATTAATCGAAGTCAACTTAAATTTAATTTTAAAGGCCAAATTCGCATTTTTATCAAGTTTTCACATAAAAGCGTTCTGGATATCGGACCGCACAGCAAATCGAGGTGAGATAAAAGGAAGCTTTTAAGGCCCCGGAACACAGAATTTACTTGTAAATGAAGTGATGACCTTTTGGGTCATCACATCCTCCACCTTTAAAACAATCGTTCGTCCTCGAACAGACATAGAAAAGAAGTACATGAGTCGGGGAAAAGATGGGGATATCGGCTCCACATATTGGACTCGGACTCCCAGGTAGCTGCCTCGGCAGGCTGACCTCTCCACCGAACACGAACAGAAGGGAAACTCTTCGATCTCAACTAACGAACCTGTCGGTCTAGAATAGCTACCGGCTTCTCCTCATAGGACAAGTCCTTGTCCAACTGGATAGTGCTAAAGTCTAACACGTGGGATGGATCGCCGTGATACTTCCGAAGCATGGACACATGAAATACTGGATGCACGGCTGAAAAATTCGGCAGCAACGTAAGTCTATAAGCCACCTCTCCCACTCGATCAAGAATCTCAAAGGGGCCAATGAACCTAGGGCTTAGCTTGCCCTTCTTTCCGAATCTCATCGCGCTTTTCATAGGCGGCACCCGAAGCAACACCCTCTCACCGACCATGAATGCCACATCACGAACTTTACAGTCGGCATAACTCTTTTGCCTGGACTGAGTTATACGAAGCCTATCCTGAATGATCTTCACCTTGTCCAAGGCATCCTGCACTAGATCTGTACCCAACAACCGAGCCTCTTCTGGCTCAAACCACCCAACCGACGACCGACACCGCCTACCATATAAAGCCTCGTAGGGAGCCATCTGGATGCTCGACCGGTAAGTTGTAGGCAAACTCCACTAAAGGCAAGAACTGATCCCACGACCCTCCAAAGTCCATAACATGAGCTCGGAGCATATTACCTCCAAAATCTGAACTAGTACCCTCGGACTGTCCGTCCGTCTGGGGATGAAATGCTGTGCTCAACTCAACTCGTGTGCCTAACTCACGCTGAACAACCCTCCAGAAATGTGAGGTAAACTGCGTACCTCGATCAGAAATGATAGATATGGGCACACCATTAAGACGAACAATCTCCCGAATATAAATCTCAGCTAA